GAAAGAAAAAAAGAATGTATGCTTTTGCTTTGTTCTTCAATAAGCACGTTTTTTGTTGTTTTGATGACAGTTGTTTTCATTTCTTTTTGTTTCTTCTTATGTTGTGAAATTCTGTTTTTAAAATCTCTTCCCGAAAATGAATTTGCTTGAATTATGACATTCTAAAAGAACGAAAGACAAAACCAAAAAAAAAAATTTTCTATCAGTAAAAGAACTAACGCAACGGATAAATTCATCATGACTTTGTTTTGTTCCGACTATGGTGAAGATAGTCGAAACAAGTTCAAATATGTGGATAGCTTTTATGAAATTGAATATAGATTTAAATAACCATTTCCTTTTTTTTAAATATACTCATGATCATAACAGATATATATTTACATCAACACCAATAATAATTCTTTTTGAAAATGGTACTTCAAAAAATAGAAAATCTCGTCTGCGTCTATAATCGGTTCTTGCTTCTGAAATTTTTAAAAAACTCTTGCTACCACTATGTCCTCCGTACATATCTCTAGATAAATTCAACAAAATTTAAAAAAAAACAATTTAATTCCAACAAAAATCGTTCTTGTTCCAAAAATGAGTTTTTAGAATTAGTGATTTTTATTTAACATCATCTTATATCTGATGTATTAAATGGCGATAATTTTTTCTAAAATACTTCAGACAAGGGTGTGGGTGTCTGGGGTGTGAGTGTGGGTGTGAGGGTGTGCTTGTGGCGGTGTGGGTGTGGGTGTGGGTGTGGGGTGTGGGTGTGAGTGTGGATGTGTGGGTGTGGGTGGCTGTAAGTGTGTGGGGGTGGAATTGCGAATGTTAGCGATGTACGTATCTACACCTGCACCCACACCCACACCCATACCCACACAGCCACACCCACCCACACCCACACCCACACCCCACACCCTTGATACACAATTTTCTCCTTTTTTGTTAGTCCATTCTACTTTTGATAAAGCACGTCATTGTATGAATTCATCTCTAGTCACATTCTAATTTTGCCTAGGCAAAATTGGAATTCTAATTCTGCCCAAGCAATGTCTAGTCAAAATTAAAATTCCAATTTTGCCTAGGGAAATTTAAAATTTGCCTGAATCTCAATTTTGCCTGTAACACATACGTTACAATACTTAACGAAAAAATTGTCTTTTTTAATAAATAGGAATGAATCATCTATAAATTCTTAGTATTTTGCCATGAGAAATACTTCATAGTTGTTTTATCTTTCTACAAGTAACACTGAAACAGAAATGGTACACTTAATAGAAAGCGACCAAATATTTCAACATGTGTGTGCAATTATTATTACGATGTAAAAAGAAATATCTTTTTTTCTTTTCTTCAACTTGTTTATGATGCGATGACTGATGGTAACCTCATCATAGTAGGTATTTTCGCAAGATAAGAGTCATATATTTTTCTTCTACGACTTGTTTAGCTTCGCATTTATTTCAGCATACATTACGACTGACATGGCCACTAACGAATGTATCGTACATTCTCGCAAAACTCTATCCAAATTTCATGCTGCTGTTAATCAACTTCGTCTTGAAAAACTGTTTTCTAATGATGTTTATCGAGAATTACCCAAACGATGTTGTTCATGTAATGGAAAGCAAGGTAAATATAATGATTGGAGACATATTGAGAATGAGTTTGATGTAGTATATTGATTTGTTGATACGCTTCATTTTTAATTTAGGTTTAAAGACAATAGATCTTGAACCTCTACGTGAATTGTCTAAGGAAATAATGTTGTCAGCAGCATCTACTGTTAAAATTCGATTTTCATCATATGAAAATAGGTTCGTTAAATTATAAAAATTAAAAAGAGTATATATACTATGATCTATTTAGATCGTTGTTGATGGAAACTGAGGAAGACAACGCTGATAAAGAAGAAATGGATACAGAAGATCTAACTGATACGACAGAAGATGATACATCTGAAGATTCAATGTCGACAAGTGATACTGAGAAAAGCGATAGCCAACGTAAATTATCGAATGAAGAAATTATTAAGGAAAAGTTTGCGAAAGGTACGTCTTTTATATACAATCTCATGATTTTATTATTATTCATTTTGTTTCTATTCGTCACAAAATATCGTTAAATAGGATAAAAACTCTACTTCTAATTGAATTAAATTGTTCGTTTTTTGTTTCGTAGATATAATTCGCACTCATCTCACGAATTTGCCAGACAATTATTAAGATTCTCGAACTACTGCTTTGCTTATTTCCGTAGTGCATCCTAATTCAAGTTCGTGTTTATCTGAGTTGATTCTATTGATACAAATGATGACACAAAAATTTAAACGAAATATTTAAGATAGATCAATCGAAAATTTTGTATTTTTCTAAGACTATTTTGACTATAGAAGATAAAGAAATAACATTGTTCAACTTGAAAAATTCCTCTTTTATTGCGACATCGACAGGGTAAAAAGAAAATTTCATTCGATCGGAATACCCATTTTGTTCCAGTAAAATATGCTAAACATCACCCATGCTTCATAATATTTTTATTCCATCGATTTCAAAGTCATATGATTACCATGTTTGATATTCTTTTTTGTCTTTGTATATTATTAATGCATACTTAGTCTGTAATTTTAAATAAGATATCAACTCAGATTATTTTATATCTCTTTTACATTTTAACCGAATTCTTTTTATTAGTCTATAATAATTTTATATTACAGTTTTAGAAACGTTCAAAGCTACGACAGCAACCGATGGATGCATTGTGCATAATCCTAAATATCGATCAAAATTTAATCATGCTGTTAATTTACTTCGTATAAAACAGTTTAAAAATTGGACTTATCATGAATTACCAAAACGATGTTGCTCGTGCAATGGTAAAACAGGTAAATATTACAGCTTCTTATTTGGCATAATATTTTTTTAGTATTCATCTATATGCTCATTTTCATTGTAGGTCTGAATGTAATTGATCTTAATGTACTGGAAGGTACATGTGAGGAAATCGAATTAAATCCACCAATCAAAACAGTAATAGTGAAGCCTTCTCATGTCTTGACCTTTCCATTTGAATCAACATTAACAATTCAAGAGCGTCGCACAAGAATTTGCCGTTTTATTGGAAAAAAAGGTCAAAACTTAACTATGCTGCACAACAAATACAATGTTCGAATTCATATTATTGATAGATCTTCTCATAAGAGACTACATAAGAAGATCAGTGAAGTACAAAATAAAACGGTAAAGCGAGATCTGAGTAAAGCGGATGAACTCTACTTATTAATCACAGCAAAAAATAAATTAACAATAGATGTGATTCCCATTGATGAAATTAAACGTGAAATAACTGAAAAATGGGAAGAAGCAAGTGAAATTAGATTTATCGAAAAAGAATATACTTTCGATCATGCGGAATCAAGTAAGCGTTTTCAATTTTTATGTCTTCCATTCGAATCAGAAGTTTCAATGGAAGCACGTAAAGACATAATCGGCCGTTTTGTTGGAAAAAAAGGGGAACATTTACATGGTTTGGAAAACAATTACAATATTCGTATACATATTATTAAACAAGGATCTTCTAATGAGAAATATTTTCGACAACTGATTGAACAACAAGATCAAAGTAATCAAGACAGTCTCTGCTTGTTTATTACGAAGAAAAACAAATCAGCAACTGATGTAATTCCAATAAATGAAGTTAAAGAAGAAATAAGTAAGAAATGGAAAGAAGCAAGTATTGAGCCTCCTGATTTACAAGGACCATTTTATTTTTTACCTCTTACATTCGAGCCAAGAGTGTCTGTCCTGGAACGTTACAGAAAAAATGGTCGTTTCATTGGAAAAAAGGGTCAAAATTTACGTACTTTGCAAGACAAACACAATATTCATGTACACATTGTGAATCAACGGTCTTCTAAGAATTTTCGTCGAAGACTTGCTAAATTACAAGGTGAAGACAAAACGGATAGTCTCTGTTTATTAATCACGAGTAAAAATAAATCGACAACAGATAGAATTCCTATCGATAAGATCAAACAAGAAATACTTCTACAATGGAGAGGTGGAAATATAGGTCGTGGTTTTACCAATAGCAAGAAATCATCAAAATCCTACTATCTATCGATTGCGGCGACTGATCTAGCTTCCGATGATCGATGGCATCCAAAACGAAATCGTCGTGGGAAATAAATCTATGCAAACAAAGAAAATATAGACTAGAGAGTGGCATATTAACTTAAACACGATCCACATATTTGCTAATGTCTAAATAAATTGTTTGCAATCATTTATCATAAAAAATACAAGACATGATGAATCCTTGAATAAATATATTTTCTCTTTGTTGATACATAGTATGAACTATTCATAGAGTGAAGTCAACTATTCCATAAAGTCATTTCTGGTTATACAATCATGGTCAGAATGTAAGTGTGAAGGAGAGTTTGATAATTTCACAAAATCTTGAACTGAAAGACTGAGGGCATTGGCTACTTGATAAATTATTTTTACAGTAGCATAAAAAGAGAACGAAAAAAAGAGACGAGCTATTTTAGTTTTTTGCATCATATTACGACGTTTCGATAAATTTATTATCATTTAATTACGAAAGAGAGAGGACGTAAATAATGAGTACATACATGCTGTGAATATTACAAAAGAAAATAAGTAGTATCAAGACGGAAAAGCTATATATATGTTGTGGCCGAAGTTGGAATTCAGCCCGATTCCGAATTCGTCCAGCCGAAATTGGACTTCTAACTTCGTCTGGACTAAAGTAGAATTCCAAGTTCGACTAAACTGACTATGGACGAGATTAGAATTCTAATTTCGACTAGATGATATTAGAATTATTGTTTAATGACTAGAAATCCATAGGGAAAAAAGAGACTTAAAAATCAATTTTTTAAATTTTACAAAAACAAAATAACAAATATCACAAAGTCGAAGTTAATGTAACTCTTCCCAAATTAGAACGTCAGCATAAAATAAAAGGTCACACCTACCTCAATGTTTCGCTCGACATAAAAGAAGATCGTGAATTTTTCAAAAAGGTTTTCATAAATCCGGGATAGCTTTGAGGTTTTAGCATTTAGAAGAATAGTTTTTGAGTAAAAAGCTAAGTGTTCATTATTAAGAGAGGGTCCATGAGGCCATCGAGAAATCGAAGCACTCGTCAAAAATTTTTTTTTTATTTGATATTCTCATTTTGTTCAGCATCATCAAAAAACTCTAAATCCAAATTTTTAGCGCATTTGGTTAAGCTGGTAAAAAGTTAGCTCACTTTTACTGTCGAGCGCTCACAATGATATTTGAAAAATATCATCAAAAATCGTTTGAATAAAATGGAGATTTTTTCGATGACATCAAAGTAACGAAATTTTTCGTGTAATATATCAAAAGATAGAGCGTCGAAAGCTGAACAAAATTACCTATTTACATATTATTTTTCCATGAACCAACTCATAGTTATCTACGAAATACTGTCCATGACCCATCATTTTTCGAATGAAAAATGAGTGGATTTTTTACAGTGTATTGGCTGCCATTTAGGCATTGTATGCAGATCCAAGCTGAATTTCACGTATGTTGTACAGTTTTTTCTCCTCTACAAAATGGTTTAAAAAAAGTTGAAAAATATCGTTACGCTGGGGATGAAAAATGGCTCACAATGTTGACTAACTAGAGAGCATTTTTAGAAAAAAATTATTATTGATAGTTTTTTTTTGACGAAAATTGGAAATCTTGGTAGATTATTAAGGGTACCCCCCCCTCTTTTTTGACCCAAAATTCGATTTTGAGCTGAGCCCAAGGTATGATAGCCTGAGGTGCCACCTACAACTGGAGACATTATTCGACTCGAAACATTTTACTTTTACCTATTTATTAGATCGAGAAAAAATTTTTTTTCATAGTAATCGTATGTAAATTTTTTTCATTTACTTAGCGTTTTGGAAAACAGCGATTTTCTACATCTTGATACATTACGACCCCCTTTTTAGTTTGTCTGATCGAGCTGAAATTTTTACCACTAACACTTGAGAGTATTCTCCAGAGGTAAAATCGAGCGTTTTCTTTTTTGATGTTCCTACTCCAAGTTACAGGGTCGCAAAAGCCAAGACCCGAAGCACAAATTCAAACCTTGCTCTATTTCTCTTATAAAAAAGAAAGAAAGTGAGATTTTTGGAAATCCTTAATTTTACCTCTGGGGAATAGTGTTGGGCGTCTATAAACAAAATTTCAGCCCAATCGGGCAAAATTTAAGGGGGGTCGTAATGTAGCAGGATGCGGACCTCTGGAAAACCAGGGTTTTCCAGAAAACCCTCGAAAACTTAGTTTAAATTTTTTTTCCTCGAACACGTATCTCGTTATTTTTGATGCTCTATCTGTGGTAAAAATTTCAGCTTGATCGGTTGTACCGTCTTCGAGAACCACAAAGTGTCAAAAAAGAGGGGGGGGGGGGGTACCCTTAAGTACCCACAATATTTTTTGCAG